GGCGGTGGTGGTTGTTTTGGGGGGGGGGGGCGCAGGTTGAGCAGGTAGGCGGCTGATGTTTGGGGCGGACGCCGGGGTGTGGGAGTGGGCGGGGAAAAGGGGGGGCGCCACGCTTGCCGGGCAGCACGGTGGGCGCGGGCGGGCGGGCCCTGCAGACATTGGAGCGGCACTCGGGCACAGGCGCGAGGCAGTCACCAACGAATCCCCTTCTTCGGGCCCCCAGCTGTTCCTCAAGGCATGCGCGCCCGGCAGGCTGCGAGCCGCTCAGCCGCGGCCCCGAAATCTTCGTCCAAGCCGCGCTCTGAGATCCGCAGATTCCCCTGCCCCCGGCCCCCGCCCCTCACCTGCCAGCAGGTCGTCGAGCTCCGACCCTTCCCAGTCGGACGACGCCGCGTCGCCGCCCTCGCCCTCGCCCTCGGCCCCGCCGGCCGCCGCGCCCTCGCCGTCGCCGTCGGCCGCGGCCGCGCCGGCTGAGGGGTCAACCTCTCCCCTGTTGAGGGCCGAGTAGTCGGGCCCCTTGCGACCCTTGTTGCGGCCCGAGCGGCGGATCTTACGCGGCCGCACCACGCGGGGCATCTGGGTGGGTGGGGCGCAGGTCGAGGGGGGCGAGGGATGTTGAGTGGTGATGACAGCCGCGCGCGGTCCGCGCGGCGGCGACAGCGGGAGCGGCTCGATGGCTGCAGGGGCTGTACGGCCGGCAACAGCAGGCCAGGCGGGCAGCGGGCGGCATGTGGAGGCGTGAGCGGTGCTTTGGAGCGCCGCGGCGGCGGCTGTGCAAACGGGTGGGGGTGGGGCCGTGGCGGGGCGGCGCACCCGTGGGTTGCGCTGCTGGAAGGGGCGCTGGGGCTTGGCGGCGTTAATCGTGACCATCAGGTTGCGCGCCGTCTCCAGCACGCCGAGCTCCTCTGAGGTTCGAGGGTGCGGGGTGGGGGGGAGGTAGCGCGGGGTGCGTGGCGTGCCCTGTGCACTTCATGGCAAGGGGTGGGAGTAGCAGTGGCGCCGCAGGCGTGTGTGCAGGGTGCACAACGCATCGGGTCGTGCAATGGACAAGCAGCTTCCTATAAGGCCATGTTGCAGATTTCACGCCTTGGCCATGCATGGCATGCGCCAGGGCCAACCGCATTGACTCGCGCAGGCCGCCGCAGCAATGCAGCGTGCTCACCCATCCGGCGGCGGTTCGCCTCGATACGCTCCTGCCTCTCGAGCTCATACTTGTTGAGTGGCGATGGCCGCGATGGTGCAGCGCGCTGCAGCAGGTCCAGCGCCATGCTTAGGAGCGGGGGGTGTCCGATCTGGTGTGCAGTCCCTTTTTGTCGTTGATGGTGTAGTAGTGTATGTGGGCAGATGAGTCGGTCCAACGCAAACCAAATATGACCCTGAATCAAGCGGAACGGCGCTCAAGACGAGAGATAGAGAGCGCGGATTTCAAATGGATTCAACGTAGAGCGCGTCTGTCGCCATTGTCGCGCCTGAATTTCATATTATAATTGCCATCATTCACCTTTGAGGTGACCGCACCTGCCTCCGGTGACCCTACGCGACACACGAGTGATCCAGGCGTCTCACTTCGCCGCTGTGGGTTCAAAAATATTCCGCCGAGGCCTAAACAGATGAAGCATACAGTTTTTATAGACGGACAACGCGGCGCACTCGGCCGCTTGCCCCATGCCACGTTCCAGCAGGGGCAGTGTTGTGTGTGCTCATTGATGTCCCTGTCCATTGTTTGAGACCTCCTCCCCACCTGGGCGATAGTCATTTACTGATCTTGTCGACAATTTGATTTGTATGGTCAGCGCATAAAGTGCGGGCTAAGCGCACATCAGTCGCTTGCGGGTGCGGAGCGCAAAGCAGGTGGAAACGCGGTGGATGGGGCAGGGGTCAGCCATCGGTTGGGCCGAGGAGAGGCACAAATCCCACCACATGTATAATGAACAAATAATCTCAAATTACAAGGCGCCGAAGCTGCAGGCGAACCAACCTCGTTAAGCCTGTAGACGGCCCAGATTCACTGGAGGAGACTCCAACCAGCGGGCCATGAGGGCGGGCTCCTCGATTGGTGTCCAATGTCATGGTGAGCATCATGACCATGAGCTCTGAGCCTTGCTCGGCACTTGGATGACACAGCTACTGGATACTCCGGCAACTTGGCCAATTGCTGGCCCCGGACGTCCCGACCGCGCTATCCAACTCCGTTGCTGCCAGCTCATGCTTGTGATAAACCACAGGCAAGCAGACAGTTCATAGTTTTTCGACACGTAGGGTTTCTACACCATGCCATGCAGGACAGCAACCTTCAATTTGAAGCCCCCGCCGCCATCTGCGGCGTTCGGAAGCCCTGGGGCCGCCAGGAATGCCGTGGACCCCTGACGACACAGGCTAGCATCATCATCACAAATTTATTGCAGACGGTATCGTCTTCGTCAAGTACGCGCGATGCATTTGTAATTGTACTCTCAGCCCTCTGGAGCTGATACAGCGCATCGCAGCATGCAAGGACTTCACACCAACAACCACAACGCTTCACCGCCACCCGCGCACGCCGAAGCAAAGCATCCTTACGCCACCGCGTCGAGCAGCATGCGCAGCTCCTCGCTTGCCCCCGCAGCGCGCTCCAGCCGCGGCCGCAGCTGCGCCACGGCGACCCGCAGCAGCTCCCCGACCCGCTGCCGGCTCACGCCCAGCACTGCCGCCACCTCGCCCATCGCCATGCCGCCGCCGACAGCGCCAGCCATGACCCCTTCCTCCTCATGCAGCTCAGCTGCCTCCTGCCCGGGCGACCCGGCCGGCAGCGCCAGGCCCAGCCGCAGGCGCAGCGCGAGGGCTTGGCGGGGGTCGAGCTCGGACAGCAGTTCCTCGAACACGGGCTGCAGAGGGTCGACGCCGCCGACGCTGTCGCTGCCAGCTTCCTCGTCGGTGGACGCCAGGCTCTCTGGGGAAGCGGCCGCCGACAATGGTGATCGTGGAGTATGATAAGGGGAGCGGAGCGAATTAGAAAATTTGTTTTGAGCAGTGCCAGGGTCTGCTATTGCTTTCTGTCATGGGCAGACGAAGGCAGCGCCGCACACCCCAGCAGCCGGGGTCAGGCAGCCGCCACGCGCATGCACGCATGGATGCCGCAAACACCATGAGGCGCGGCGCGCGCGCCCCGCAATCCCTCACGGGGTTGCGGGGGTGCTCGCGGAAAAGAGGGGGCGGGGGTGCGCACGCTGAGAGACCCCCTGCTGCTCCGCCGCGAGCGCGCCGCCCGCAAGGGACTCGAGCGCGACGGCGCCGCCGTTGCCGCTGCCGCTGTCCTGCGCCAAGACGTCGCCCAACTGCAGGACCTGCGGCACGGGCGGTGGCGCGGACAATGCCCTGAGTGATACCGAGGGGTCAAGACTGCAAGCGCGCAGAACCCAGTGCACACAACCAGCTCTAACAGACATTCTGATGTGCAGCAAAACCACATTTCATGCGTGCTACCTGAAGCGTACGCCGCACACAGGGCAAGCGCCGCTTGTCTTGAGGAGCCAAAGCATCCCCGCACCTGCTGCTGCGCCAGCTCCAGCAGGGCCGCCACCCGCCCTGGGGACAGCTCGAGAGGCTCCGCCAGCGCCTCGGCCGTCGCCGGGCGCCCCGCGGCCTCCAGCTGCGCCTGGGCGGCGCGCAGCTTGGGCAGCAGCTGCAGCGAGGACCAGGCGCTCAGGCCCGCGCCCGCAGTGTACTGCGAAGAGGGGGGAGTAGAGACAAGCGTGGAGGTGTTCAATGAATTCATGAAGCATGTACATCATGAACAAGTTCATGAAGTTGTGGGGGCGGGGCAGGCGAGGTGTGCAGGGGTGTACAGAGGACACCATTAGTCCTGAGCAACGACCAGGCTGCAGGTGTGTCGCGAGCAAATGTCGGCGCCCTCAGCCGCGGGGCGTGGTTGCGAGCAGCACACCCTGATCCAGAAACACCCTGGACACCCATGCGATCGCATGCAAAGCACGAGCCTCATGCGCGAGCATGCGCCGGCACACCAACCGCACATGCAAGCATGCATGTGCGCGGGCACACGCATGCATGCGCACGCGAACAGCGGCGCAACTCGACGCACTCGACGCCGCGCACCTCCTTTCGCAGCGCCTCCATCCTTTTCTTCATTGTTAGCTGCGCCAGCGGCCCCAGCCGCCCCGACCCCCGCCCCACGTCGAACCGCCTCGCCGCATCGAGCACCGCCGCCTGCGCCTCCAGCACCACTTCCTCCATCGCCGCGCCCCGCATGCCGCGCGCCGCGCGCTGCGCGGCCGACAGCACCAGGGGCCGGTACATGCGCAGCAGGAGCGCCTCCGCCAGCTCGCCCTGCGCCGCCGCGGCGCGCAGGTCTGCGGACGCCGCGCCGCCAGAGCCCACGCCGCCGCCCGCGCCGCCAAATTCCGCGCCTGCAGCAGCCAGGAGCCCCCCATCCTGGCCTTGCGACGCGTCCACGCCCTGTTGCAGCAGCTGCTGCTGCTGCTGGCGCATAAGATGCAGCTCCTGGATGTGCCCGATCAGCTGCCGCTCCAGCACCGCCGCTGCGGCTTCCTCCTGGGGCAGCTCAAAGTCCTCAGCACTAGCGGCGGGCGCGGCGCCGCTGCGAGCTGCGCCCTGACCCTTGCCCGCGCGCCGTCCTTGGCGCGTGGCGCCGCTGTCGCCGCCGCCGCCGCCACCACCGCTGCTGCCGCCGCCGTCGTCGCCGCCACCGCCGCTGCTGCTGCTGCTGCTGGCCTGCCCCCGCCGCTGCTTCTGGGCGCGTGGTCCGCCGGAGCCCATGCCGGCCCCTGTGGCCCGGGCGAGCCCAGCCAACTGCTCCTCCAGACGCGGGAGGGACTCTGCACCGTTGCCCTGCCTGCGCCTAGCAGCCTTCGGGCTCTGCACCACGACCGTCGCGGCAGGGCGCCTCGCGTCCAATGCCACCGCCGCCACGGGGCGGCCCTTGGCCTTCCCGGGCCCCTGCTGCTGGCGCCGCTGCTGCTGCTGGCGCGCCGGGCGCTGCGGCTGGCCGCCGTCTGTCGCGCGGCCTGCCGCGGCGCCGGCGGCGGCGCCAGATTGTGATGAGGTGTCTGACAGGTTGTGAACGACAACGCCGGACGGCAGCAGGCTCCTGGCGCGGCCGTTGGGCGCCGCCGCGCCTGCCGCTTTCGGCTGGGGCGGCTGCTGGGGCGGCGGCAATGGTGGGGCCAGGGACTGCTGCTGCTGCTGTTGCTGCTGCGCAGATGCATCCCATTCTGCGTCTTCCACAGGCAGCCACTGGACCCGGTTGCCTCCCCACGGAGAGGGCAGGTACAGCCGAGGGGCAGCAGACCGGCGCCGCTGGGCGCCGCCGGCCCCCGCAGCGCCGCCGCTTCGGTCCGCATCGCCCCTGCCGCCGTTGCTGCTGCCACGCCTGCCTGTCTGATCAGTGCTGAGCCGCGCTCCTGCTGCTTTCTGTGGGGCCGGCGCTCCACTAGCCTCAGACTGCGCCGCTGCAACGCGCAGCGATCTGCCCCCATGATAACTTTTCTTGCCGCCATTGCGAACGGAAGGCACGGGCCTGAGCGCAGCGCAGCGCGAGCGGACGCCGAGCAGCAACGCGCCAGGGACTGATGTGTGCATGGCGCTTGCGCTGACGCGGACCATCGAGTCCAGAGCCATTGGCCCGTGGGCGCAAGCCTGTATCGAAAGTAACGTGCCTACTACAAAATCCTTTCAGTCTTGCGAACTGAGCCCCTGGTATCCTGTTCCGCGTGGCAATACGGGCGATACGAAAGGCCGTGAGCAGCAATAGCAGGGTAGTGGTGAGTAAATCAACGAGAGAGTATTAATACACTGGTACAATGGCTTTTCGAGAGGTTTGACGCTCATCAGAAATGGGTGGTCCCGTGGTGAGGTGGTGGGTACCCACCTGCCCACTACCGGCATGACAGTTCTCCGAGAGGCTGTGTGTTATTCAATGACTTCAATCGATACCATAAGTTCAGATCAATTGCACGCTGCATGCACAGTCAACCGATTCGGTGGATCATCCATTAGTGCGGCACACCAACGTTATGCAATAAGCGCAGCAATACGAGTCTATGCTGCCTGATTGTCCGCTAGGGAGTGCAGCCGGCGCGCAGCAGTCGCCGCCACTTCAAGCGAGGCGCGTTTGCGCTCGCTGCGTGCGCTAGCGATCGCCGCCGTCGGGGGAGCTGCGGCGGGGGAGGCAGGAGCTGAGGCAGCCGGAGGCGGTACACAGCGTCTGCTGTCCTCTCCCAGCGTCATGTGGGAGTACGTGTCCTACCTGGATGTGTTCAGATGTGAGCGGCGCATCACAAGGGCGATTGTTGCCCAGTGCCCAAGGCCCCTGCTGCGCTGGGGCGCCGTGATTGGGCACCCCACAGGCTCCGTGCAGCGACGAAACTAAGCAGCAGGCAATGTAGACACTGGATAGAAGCCGCCTGCACAGGGCACGCAGGCGCCGCAGGCGCAGCGCCGCGACGCGGGCCCCAGCGACGCGCTGCCCAGCGGCACGCCCCTCCGTCCCCGGCCGCCTGCAGTCTGCAAGTTCCTCCGGTTGGTGGGCAACATCATGGCCCTGTTCGTCCTTGCGATAGTGGGATTCTCATGGTACGCCGTCATACCGGCGCGGTACGGGCGGTACGTCGTCGCCGGGCCGCCCCTGGCATCGGCCGGCAGCATGCTGGCGATCCTGGCGTTCACGGGGCTGGTGCGCGTTGGGTCAAACTCGGGTCAAACACGAGGGGGCGGCCGGTGCTTTCAGGGGCCAGCGCGCAGAGCCGGGCCGCGGGCGGCTGCGATGGCGGGCAGGCGGTCGTCGCATCACGGCTGATTGGGCCGTTGGCACTCTGCGCCAAGCGGGGGCCTGGCACATGGCAGGTGTAAATACACCTTGTAGCCTGGCGGCGTCCGGCTCAACGGGCCAGCCCATTTTTTTTGGTGCTGAGCATGAGCCTGAGAGCCGCCTGAATGCTGTGTGCCGTCTCTGCGCCCCCCCACACCCTGCCCCACCCGCGGCCGCGACAGGTGGTCATGCTGGTCTGGGCGTATTTCGCAGCGCTGCTCACAGATCCAGGACGAGTGCCTGAGGGCTGGCACCCCTTTGCAGACGACCAGGTGCGAGGCGGGGCTGCAGCAGGGCAGCTTGGGGGGTGACGGCCCCCCCCAAAGGTCAACCGCACGCGGCTCGAGGCGCTGCCCGCGCTGCGTGAGGCCGCTCGAGCGCTTGTTTTGGGCTTGTATCTGACATCAATGCGCGCGTGGACGAAAATCGCATGTGCACATGGCTGTTGTTGCAGCCAGCATCGCCCACGTCATGCACACACACTCTCTCTCCCTCCCTTTTCTAAACACTTACACAGACATGGAGAAGCCACCTCAAATACCCTGCCCTCCCGCAACACACGCACTCACCCCGCCCGAAACCCCAACCCCAGGCAGCCCAGTACGCCCTCGAGCGCCTCGCAGCCTGCAGCTACGCAGTTGACAAGCGCGACCCTCGGCGGCCCCGCTACTGCAAGCGCTGCGAGGCGTGGAAGCCAGAGCGCGCGCACCACTGCAGCGCAATGGGCCGCTGCGTCCTGAAAATGGACCACTACTGCATCTGGGTGAGTGTGTGTGTTTCTTGGGGGGGAGGGCGCAGGGCTCAGCAGTAACGTGCACACATGCTGCTGCCCTGCGAGGCAGCGCGGTGTGAGCGGTGATGGGAAGCTTTGAATCGCTTTTAACCATCCAAAAAGCGGCGCCCGCGGCTGGCGGGGCATCTCGTGGCTTGTAGCGC